TCCAGATTTCGGAGGGAAGATGACACGAGCTTCTCTTTGAGCTGTCCTTTGTCCACAACCAGTAAACCGAGATGTGTCCTCTGCCGAATACCTGCGGCTTCCTTTTGCTGTGTGGGGTATAACTTGAGCGCTTTTTGAAAGAAGGATAAATCTGTGAGACAAAATCAAGAATTATCAGCAAAAAAGGAAATAACATGTATCTTGTGGTTTCTTTGCTTTTTGTAAACAAACCACAAGAACAATAAGTTAACAAGTACAACTTATTAACTTATTATTCTTTGTGACTTTATTTTATTTTCTCCTATTCAGAAACATGTCCAATATCCCCATTTTGCCTTTTTAGACCGAACGTTTTCCCAAGAATATTAGGCAAGGCAAGTTTATTTGTATAGCACAATTCAACAACAAGGTGATTCAAAGTGCTTTACAGAGACATTAGAAACAAAAACAAATAAAAAGCATGATTTAAAATTGATTAAAACAAGCAAACAAACAAACAAACAAAACAGTATATAAAATCAAAACAGATAAAATCAGTAGTTAAAATGTAAGTTTTGAAATTTAAGCTTAAGTGCGGATTTGGTGCTTTATTTAAATGCAGCTGAGAATAAGTGAGTCTTCAACCTGGATTTAAATAAACTGAGTGTTTCAGCTGATCTGAGGCTTTCTGGGAGTTTGTTCCAGATATAAGGAGCATAAAAGCTGAATGCAGCTTCTCCGTGTCTGGTTCTGACTCTGGGAACTGATAAAAGACCGGATCCAGATGACCTGAAGGATCTGGAAGGTTCATACTGGGTCAAGAGGTCACTGATGTATTTTGGTCCTAAACCATTCAGAGCTTTATAGACCAGCATCAGAACTTTAAAGTCTATCCTCTCCCCTATTAAAAGCATTTATAATGTAAGGTGTTCTAAAATAAACACAACAACCATCAAACTAAGAATGAAAAAAATCAATATAGTATAGGCTACAACAATTGATTGACCCAGTACTGTTACCTAAACCTACAGTGATAAGAAAGATTCCATGTCATATCCATGTCCTTATCATTACGTACACTGACTCTGACTTTTACTTTTACAGAGAACTCTGCCAAACTTGTGCAGAACAATTTAATTTGCTGAGAACAATCAAACTGTGGGGTCTATGATCCAAGCTATGATCTTAGATATAGAGGCTTCAACAGAGAGTGGAATGAATATGCTAAAACAAAATATTGCTGCAAACTGACTGCTGGCTACAAGAAGAGAATAATAATTTTCTTAATGGAGTAGAAATAATAATATGTAATGGTCTCTGAAGGTAATGTGAATTTGGTGACAGCTTGAAGTATTAAAAGACAAAATGAAATATGTTTTGTAAGGACACAATTGAAATCACACTGAGTCATATGGATCCTGTCTGGGCAGTAAACTATAAAACATTTCCATAACAAAAAAAAAACGCATTAAAGAAAAGCAGCAGGCCAAGAAAGGACCGAAAGGACCAATGCAAAAGTTAAATAAATATTAAAAAGCATATTATGAGGGAGGACATTTGTCATATTTCAACGATACACCCAGTGACAACGCATGAATGTGCTGTTTTTAAGTGTCCAACTATCTGGCAAATAAAACCTTTATCTTTTCAAAACAAAGAGAAAAAACACAGAAATTTACAGAAAGCTCTAACAGTGTTGATGCTGATGTACTGCACATTACCTTGATCCTGTCCCTGCAGTGCATCCAGATCCAAACTTTTATTCTCCTTGTAGATTCTCAGAAAGTGCTCGAACATGTGTGAGTACACGTTTGCAGCAGCAAATACAATCTGGAATGACCTCTGAAGGAGAAAAATACATCAGCTCAGTTCAAAGCTATCAGGACGCCATGAGACCTTAGGAAAACAAAACGGTAAAAACACTGACCTGGATGCTTTGCTTTATACTTTGCAGGTAGACGTCATCGTTTAGGATATCTTTCAAAGAGGGTGCATTTTCATATTTATTTACCACCTTCCAGAAACATATAAAACATTCAAATAAAATCCCGTATTAATTGCAAAGTAAAATTCAACATAACCATAATACTTCAATCATATCAAAAAATCTGACAATTTTAAGTACAAATATGAGGGCAGGTTTTGAAAATATGTTGAAATAGATCGAAAAACGTCACTAACCTCACCCCTTTGAGGTTCAATCACTGAATTAAAAATAGGATCTTTAGTAAGATCCTTAACTGACGTCACCATGTTCTCAAAATGGTTGATAAAATCTGCAACAGTCTCCTGTAGGAAATAGAAACATAATGTTGATGGGTATTTTCTGATTAGAAGCAAAAAACTATACAGTGTAAAAACGAATCATACCCGGAAGTTCTCTTCAGAGGGTTTATAAGTCAAGCTGTTTGTGTCCAGGATCAACTCAGACATGAATACAGGATGGAATTGAGGAGCTTCTGACTCAATAGTCTGATGAAGATACATATATTGGCATAAACAAGAATGTGTTCTCTTGACATCTCGATTCCTCATGGCTACAGAAATAAATGCAATATTTTTACAGTTGTGCTGAATAATTCCCCTACCTTTTTATCCATCTTTTTTTCAGTACAGTCAGTGGCAGCGTCTGAGTCAAGGGTCCAGCTTTGAATGATGGCATTGCTGGGTGTTTGACCTGCCTGCACTTGCAGGAGAGTCAGTATTTCATCCACTGCATTCACTGCACAGCTGTGCAAGGTGGTGATAACCAAATAGTCAACAAGTCGAACAAAGCTGGGCAGGTAAGAAACAAAGACATCGTTAGCGTGACAGATGTGCTTGAGCCGTGATTATCTGTTCTGTGTTTTTGCCATTTCGCTTATTTACTTATGTGAGTATTTTGTTATTAAAACAAAAAAAGTACAGTATGCTTAATATACAAATCAATACAGAAAACATATTACATTTTGGGAAGCAAAGAGAGAAATAAAATGCACCCACTGGATGACGTGGTTGAAGAAAAAAGACATGTTGGTCCCTGATGCGATCTTCTTTTCTTGTTCTGTGACAAAACGAGCATGAACAGGCTTTGAACTTTGTGATCTACATCTGGATATACAAATCAACTTTCTCTATTGTGTCAAGACGATCTCTCCAACCTACATCCCCACAGCGCAGCATGGATACTCTTTAAGTACCTATAATGCGTGTAGTGTACGTAACATCAGCATGTCTGCTTAAATTGTAAGAAGAGAGCCGGTCACCCCGACCTCTCCAGAGATGGCTGTTGTCTCCCCCTACACAAACTAGTGAAAAGCTTGGGTGCTTCACCAACCTGCTGTCGTAGCCATTTTTGCCACGTGAAATCTGGCCAGTCGGAGGAAAAGTCAGGCTGCTTTCATTCATCCTACCCAACTCACCAGACAGTTACAAAAAAACATTGTGCTGTTGGCAATTGCTACCTGACTCTCAGAGTCACATTTCCACAGTTGCAGCGACAGAAAACTGCATCACACCCATAGTTTTTAGAACCTGTATAACATTAAGTATATGACGTGTGATTGTTACCCAAATTACTCCAGCACATTTCCCAGACAGAATATGGCTAGCCCAGTGGACGACACCTGTTTAAGTTGTGGAATAAATATGCCTATAGAGGGTGGCCATGGTAAGTGTGTGCATTACTTAGGCCCAGACCGTGCCCATGTGGCCAGCAGGGGTCTAGCCTAATGCCTGAACTGCCTGAACAGCTGCATATGCTTGGTTTCCTCATGGTGTCCACTGAGTCCACTGAAGGAAGTCTTTGAATTATACAGAGTCCATATAAGCCTATGGACTCTTACATATGAAATATGTAAGACAGAGAGATGAAAGAGAACAGTTGGTTACATTGTAACCCAGATTCTCAGAGTGAAGAGACTATCTCTCCAGTTCCAACCTGCTCA